CAAAAACTGCTGATGACATTCAGCAAGAGTCAAAATGTAGATGCATATTGCTGTACAATTATACTCAAATACTAATATCCATAGCTTAAAAGTTATTTAATATATACAACATCACACCTGGAAGAAAACTGGCCCAGGTAGGGATCTGTTGGTGGGCTTCTGTGAATGTGAATCCTTTGGATCCACAAGAAAGAAATTTCTTCATTGGCTGAGCAGCTGTCAACTTAAAAACAAAAATATATTCTACTTTGGAGTAAGCAATTTCAGCTAGAGTCCCAGCACTAATTTCAATGTCCACATGTTAGTATAAAACAACAAAAATAACATCTATGAAACTTTACCACTGCAGTTTCAGCTTCTAACTTTTACTCTTAGAAGAGCTGTTGCTGAATGTTGCCAGCAGTTCACAGAAATTAGTGTGAATGTGTGATGTGTTTGTATTCAAGAGCAAGAGCCTTGTGACTATTGAATGTGATCAACATGTGCAGCTGAATGAAGTGAATGGAGCTGCCATACAGGCTACATTCAAGTGCAACAGTAGATTTAACTTAATTCATAGCCTTGAGAGGATTAGAATGTAAGCTTTTTAAAAAGTTACAATCTAGGTGTATTTTTTACCCTAGGAACCAATTTATAAAATGAACTATACATGATGTGCCATGAGTGTTTCTTTATCAAACTTCCTGAGCAGACTGAGAAATTGCCTCCCATTTTTTTCTTTCTCCTTTCCTTCCTACAGATAGCACCAACTGCAACAACCAACCCCAAGGGGATTGCAAATTAAGAAAGAAGGTGATATAAAAGTATACAATGCACATTTAACAGGTGGGTTTTTGCTGAAGGGATTGTAAATGAAATAGTGAAAACTGTGATGAACTCTTCATTGCAATAAACTGATATTAAATTTACATAAAATTATTATGAGACCTACTGCTAAATGTATAAGTGATCAATATTAAGGCTCTAATTTTCACCCTTATTGCACACACTAAACAGAAACTATATATAAATTGTGTAATACACGTATATGCCTCAAAGTCATACTGTAATAAAGCATTACATTAACAGAATAATACAATTCTAATTTTAGTGAAGTCTAAACTCTAAGGATTTTTACCACCTCCCTCTTAACTCCAGTTGTGTTTTGAAGGCCATGTTGATTGCTGATAACTGAAGTTTGAAAATGCCATAAAATTTTCATACAGAGAAAATATATTGGATAAAAACTATCACTGTTCAGTAAAACTTTTTTCTGTCCATTTAATGTTTAGTGAGATAATTGCAGAAATGCATCTATGGTATCATGTAAAGTCATTGTTAAACATGTTCGTTCTGAGTGACAATTTTTCGTAAAATTCAGCAGTGGCCATATTTTCATGAAAATCTATCCAGTGATTTCTAGTTGTTTCATGGGTACTGCTGGATGTACTAAGAAGTCTGCAAATACATGTGAAGTCGAATCATCCAAACAGATGGCAGAATGAAATATACCGTATTTACGCATGTATAGGCCGCAGCACAATTTTCAGACAGAAATTATAGAAAAAGTAATTTTCTTGGAATATTATTTCAGGAGGAGAAATTATTATTATTAATTATGAATATAATTTTTTTTAAATGAAGTGTGATTTCGAATATTTCGAATATAAGCCGCACCCCAGTTTTCCTCTTGAATTTTTGGCAAAAAATGTGCGGCCTATACATGCGTAAATACGGTATATTGAAACAGAATGTGGAAGGAAATGTATGTATCTTTAACCAAAACAAGGTAAATGAGATCTCAGAAATTTAGGAACTAATTGTTACTTTGATGCTTTACCATGGATTAAATCTGGGTTTGATCTGAAAACAAACTTAACAAGTCAACCAACATATGAATGCCCATGAGCATAATGCAAACTGCAAAAACTGATACAAAAAGCAACAAAATTAGTGTCTGTCTGTACATGTCCTTTATCCTCTCCATGATTTTCAGTACAAGTGCATAAGCCTATCAAGAGAAAAACAGCTTCTCGCTGGCAGACACAGTCATTAGGTCGCAATATAATATGTACATCTTTAGAATTATTGACTGACAATCTTTTGGCTTTACAGTCCAACAAGCTGAATAAGAGTGCTTCAAATACTTTTGCTGTAGTTCTGGCCTATGGACAAGATCGTCTGTATTTGGGACTGCCTTGATTCCATGCTGGAAGTTGAATAGTGGAGGCTTTTTCAGTTTCCGGTGGGGAAATGTATCCACTGATTTTCTTATATCCATGTATATTTGAATGTGTTATGTAATGACGCACTAGCTTCTGATAGTTTATCTAATTTGTACAACTTATAACATATATCCATGTATATTTGATATAACATATATTACGAGCAGGGCTAGCATAGTCAGTATAATGACTGGCTACGTGCTGGATGGCCGAGGGGTCAGAATTCAAGTTACTATAGGAAACATTTTTCTCCTCTCCACGTAGTCTAGACTGGTTCTGAGGCCCACTGAGCCTCCTAGCCAGTGGGTACGGGGGTAAAGGAGCCAGTGTGTGAAGCTGGCCACTCACCTGCAACTAGTGCTGAGGTCAAGAATACATGGTTCATTGCATACTCTCCCCTATATGTCTTCATGCCATAGTGCTTAATTAGTCGAGCACAGGGACAGCCTTGCCGTAACATTTATTAACTTGGTGATTAACAACGCTCTCAGGATCAAGACCATACGAGCGTCAAGGAGCCCTTATACAGGCCCACAGAGCTGTTGTGAAAATTGCCTGTGATATTTTTAATTCATATGAAGATTTCTTAAAACTTCCCGCGTAATGTAGTAACAAATTTTGCTATAGGAATATCAGAAGTTAGTGTCGGGTGATCTTTGCAGAAGGAGACATTCTTTCCACAGTCTTCACCCAATTTTTTCTGAAATAAGGCCCAACAAAACGCAATTCCTAATCAGGGTCTACGGCTGTAAAGTTTTCCTGTCCCTGCTCTATGCTGATCAGTAAAAACAGCCTAAGGCTAAGCGCGCACAGGTGACCTAAATTTTAAATTTGTAAGCAAGTTTTCGGGCTGCCCCCTTCTGGAAAATCATGATGCCTCTCAAATCCATGATTTAACGTAATACAAACGTAAATATAAAGAGAACAGTCATCCATAGTGCCCGCATTGCAATCAATTCAGAGTGGGTGTTTCCCCTGTTTTGAAGGAAGCAAATTCACTGAATTGTTTTTGTTCTAATTTTTACTTATTTTTTGTTTTTTTAATTCGCTTAACGGGAGGTGGAGTCCAACTGGGTCCACTCGGCACGGCGGCCACTGATTGGCCTATTGTAGCCTGCCCCGGGTGATTATGATGATGGAGAATTTGGTGAATGAAGATTGGCAAGGGAAACCGAAGTAGTCGGATGACAACAAAAATAAATTTGAATTAAATTCCAATATCCATAACATGACAAAAATATAACTTCCATCTACCTTCATCAAACTTATCACTATATCAAAAAGGAGTCTACTTTTCTGGCATAAATGTGTACAATAGTCTCCCACAAAGTATAAAAAACTTGAGTAATGATACTAAACATTTTAAATCAGAGCTAAAGAAATATCTGCATGCTCATTCCTTCTACTCTGTAGATGAAGACCTCAATGTAAATAGAGAATAATGCAGAATTAAGCTATATTAGTTTAAGATAAAATTACTTGTACCAGTAGATATTACTTGTTCTATATCCAGAGGTATTAACCTACTTAGGATCTATGGAATGCAAATAAATTCAATTCGGGTTTCCAGTCCCAGTGGGCCTAGGCCTACCTCTATGAATTTCTCTGTTCACTTCGGTTTTTCTAGATCTTACACATTCGGTAGGACTCCTTGGGCAGGTGATCATCTCATCGCAAGGTCTCTACCTGCAAACAAACACAGAAAAACGCACACACACAAACTAAACATCCATGCCCTGAGTGGGATTCGAACCCACGATCTCGTTTTCCAAGCGAAGACAGTACTTGCCTTAGACCGCTCGGCTACTGTGACCGCGATTTGTGTCACTTAGTTCAAGTAAAAGGTAAAGTTGTCCTCGTGCTTAATTAATTAAAAGCACTACACCGTGAAGGAGTATGAGTGAGTGGATGTATAGATCCACATTTTCTTGACCTCGGCACTAGCTGGAGGTGAGCGGTCAGCTTCACGCCCCGGCCGCTTTACCCCCGAGGGAAGAGCCCCCAGTACTAATTGGATTGGAGGTTGGGTGGACCCCAGAGCCGGTCTGGAAAATTCATGACCGTACAGGGACTCGAGCTCCGACCAGCCCATATCCAGTCGCTATACCGACTACGATATCCCGACCGATCCCGGCTGTCCACTTAGTTCAAGTAATTTATACAAGTTACCTTTAGAAGTCGCTAGTGCATATCTCCCCACACCGCACGATGATTGGCACGGTTGTTCGGTCCGAACGGGTTGAGGGGGTGGGGGTTGAAGTTACTGTAGTTTGTTTATAGGTCTATATTTAGGTGTTTAACACGGAGGAAATTTTATCTCATAATTTGTATCGGATTATTCCTGTAAGTAGTTTTCAAGATGTGAGTGGCAATCGTGTCATAGGTAATAAGGTAGGGCAGGAAAGAGTATCTCGTGTGCGATGCGCATTACTGATGAATCCCATCAATTTTAAACGTATAATTGTACTTGTTTCGCACCATGCCGTAAGAAAGAAATCAGTTTATAGTTTTGATACTCGATTGAAGTATTCGTTGTGTTCAACGTGACCGATTGTGACCACGGATTAAAGTATTAGGGACTTAGATTTATCGATAGTTACAGTTTGATATCGAATAAGTATTCGATAGTGAAGGGAAACGGAGGAAATTGTGCAAATCAGGAGGTCCTAGAGTACGCGCATAATATGGATGACCCATGATATTTGAGGTTATTACATAACCGTGAAATTTAAATTTGCTATATATATATATATATTGTTCTTCAAATGAATAAGTTCGAGTTTAATTAGCGTGCGTAAAAAGTGGATATGTCACGAATATATTCAAATTGTTGACATCCCCCATTTAAATAAAGAAAAAGCTAATAATAAGATATAGCAATATATTATCTAAGTTAAATTGTACGAATAATCTTGTGACAGCGAACCAAATCGTGTCAGACATAAACAGAAAATAGGTTGTGATTTTCCTAATTTTTAATTTCAAGAGAATTCCATCAAAAGTGTGCATATGAACTGTTAAACCGCACAGAATGTATAATGGCATTCTTCCTTTGCTTGCCTGTGTTGCTTTTTGTAACATGTCAGGTTCTTATTGTGAGAGTGTCTTCGGTTTCCACCAAACCCCCAAGCAGGAGGACAGTCATCTGCACCCAACCTCGAAGATACTGGACCATTCTTTATTGGCTGTCAGTTGCTACAATGACTGCTACATGTCATCTATCATCTGGGGATGGTACAGTAGGCCAAACAGTGGCCGACGTACTGAGTGTACTCAGTCTCACCCTACCCGCAAAGAAACCTACACAGATTCAGTATGTTTGCAGACACCCTCCATATCAAGTGGCAAGTGGCACTAAGCCCTTAATGCAATCAGAGGGTATGTGTATGACATGTTGAATCCATGTAACTCACCGAAGCACAAATTTCAACCTCATAATATTTTAAACTTGATTTTCTGTCTCACAGGAAATATGCCACATCCCATTTCTAAGCACTGGTTGATTAATACAGCTTGGGGAAGTGATCACATTTCATTATGGGAATCATGAAACACATAAGTACATTTTAATGTTTGCATTCTGTTGTGTATTAATGTAATTATGATTATCTTCATAACTGAAAATAACAGATCACTTTTATAATATACGACAATTTAATTATAATTATTTGTTATTATTATAATATGTGTGGTACTACAAAATAACTATTATTGTATCATGTATTATACAAGTGATTCATTGTTGTAATAGATATAAAGACAGTTATAATTATGTACATATACTATGGGCAGAATGTAGGGTGTCGTAATGTTAAAGGAGGTGGTATCTAATGCAATCATCATATATTACAGGCTTAGTGTTATTGTCATACCATTTTTACATAAAATGAAAAGTAATGGACCAAGAATGGAACCTTGAGGAGCTCCATATCTAACTTGACAGCTATTTGACAAATCTTCTTTCAGTTAATTGATCAGTTGATCAGAAGTTTGAAATCACATAAGAAATTTATTTTCAATGTGAATTGGTTGACTGGACAGGGGAAATATGACAGAAATTCGTGTGCCAAGATGGTGGATGGGAGGTGTGGCCTCTGCTGCAGCAGCTTGTTTTACACAGCCTCTGGACACAATAAAGGTAAACAGTTCCTTCTTAAAAACCACATGGAAACACACGGAAACTGTACAAAGTGCAGACTTCATATATTTAAGAATGTTGCAGTATGAAGCATCATTGGTAGCCCTAAAGGTCTGTAGAATGACAAAATTACATAATTTTTCAGCCTCTTAATATTAAATTTAATATAACCTTGCCAAAGGAGACTGTTATGTAGAACTTCTTTAGTTTCAATATATTCCTTATTGACAAGGTTTAATTTAATACAGTGATTATTTACAGTATGATTCCCATCCATTCATAGATTCATAGCATGGTCTTTTTATTGTATGTGTGAAAGTTCTGTTCCCATCTTGGCTAAAGGTTACCTGATTTGCTATGATGCATTTTTATTATTGATTTCATTGCTATCACATTATTTTATGTATTGATTTTGCCTCAAGAAAAGATGCTCTTTCTTTACAGTACACTGTTTTTGAGATACTCATTAGGCCTCATTATTTTTCCTGGTACATTCTGGTGCAAAGTATGTTCTTTTTCTTAGCCGTTTCTGTTTATAATATACTGTTATTTTCAAATTTGTGATCCTACACTGTGCCAAATTAAGATTTGGTTCCTCACAGTTGTTATGTATGATATACTGCCTAGAACATAAAACTGCCTTCAGTTCTGATCGCTAAGAGTCAATTAGATTTTTTTGTGCATTAATATTCTGTGTGATGGACAAATGGATTGTAGGCAGCAGTGTATATATCCACTTCTCTGCCATGACAGGTACATCAGCAAACTCAGCAAGATGTGAACCACTCCATAGTTCGCCTTACAATGAATGTCATAAAGCAGGAGGGAGTATTAAGTCTCAACCATGGTCTTACAGCAGCTGTGCTGCGCCAACTCACATATTCAACTACAAGATTTGCAGTCTATGAGGTCAGTATTTGTTTGCTGTTACCAAGTCATCTACTGTGTTGAGTGATGGTTATGATGCATGTATTTTTGAACAGAGGTTTCAGCATGGTGCACACCTATTGCAGTGCTCTTAGTTCACCTCAGCTCAGCTGAGCTCAACTCAGGTATTGGCCCCTGCCCTACCTCAGATTCATTTAAACTGTCAATGAAGAGGGAACTATTGGAATTGTTAATGCATGCTGTGAATTGGTGAAGCATAGTTTCCTGTTCTGAATGCACACAGTTTGTGCAAAGCTGAACTTGTTGAGAGAATTTCACTGCCTGTGAGGAGATGAAAAGTTTTTCAGACACATTTGGATATCATAGAGCAAGTTCTTTCAACTTTGAGGTATAAACTATTACCATTATTTAAGCACAGGTCAAAATTGTGTGATGGAATTTTTCCAGTGAAGCAGATAGCAGTGACTTCAGCATAAACATTTTCATCACAATTTTACTTTTGGTCAGAATTAGTGTTTTGCAAAAGAAAATTAAATTCATTTACTTAACTTAGAGATGGTTCAGATCCACACTTACAAAACTCAGCTCTTTTTTTGTCAATTTGACTTTAAAACTGGAACTGTTCATAAATTGCATTTCAACTTACAAACAGTATTTATTCACAAATATTCCAATTTAATTTCCTCACATTATCAAACTTCGATCTTCCAGAAATGTTTGGAGGTAGCAGAAGATTCAAAACTTTGTGAAATTTGTATCCGCTGATTAGTTAAGAAAGTAAAAAATATGTATTACAGGAATATCATAAATTTAAAACAGAGTACAAAATTTGTTAGAGCAATAAGATATTTCACACATTAAAGACGTGTTGATTCGTTAATATTGGTTCCAATTTAATAACTACAAATGATAGAACTAAGTAACAGGATGCTGAGGTCACACTCCTCATTCATCTGAAAGTGCCTGTAAATGCCCTTCTATGATACATTTCTTTCTTCCGTCTAAATTCTAGTTGGGGGAGACAGTGGTAAAGGAAGTAATATATGAAACTTGTAATGTCATTTGGGAAATGTTAAGGTCCATCATTTTGCTTAAACTAATGAAGGAGAAGTGGCAAAAAAATGAACAGGCTTCTCAAGCAAATGAAACTAATTGCATTGGAGCCATTAATAAGACAAAATGTATTCACAAAAAAGGCACCAAGGGCAGCATTATTTTTCTGTTATAACTATTACTTTGATATTGTTTTATTTGCCATGGTTGACACAGATTACTGCTTTATGACAGTATGTTGAAGCATATAACCCAAAGAGTGATGGTGATGTATGGTATGTAAATTCAGTAAAAATCTGCAAGCAGGAAAGTTACATATTGCATCAGATAAAACTTCACCTGGAATGATGTAATCACTAGGAGATGAGGCATTTACTTTTGCAGAAAGGTGTTAACTAGACTATAGCAGTTATAAAATGACAAGCCCAAAGTAATTTACATCTGTACACTGTGAAGTGAGGGCAATCAGTGAAAATGCACTCAGAATCAGTGTAAAGAAATTCTATGTATTTTGTTAAAAAGTTAAATCCATTTCCAGACTACTTAGACATAACTCTTTGGGTTTCAGCATATTTAAGCAGTGTTTTGAGAAATAATTATTGTACATGGCAGTCTGGGGACCTAGAGGCTGAAGCAGACCCTCCTGATCTTGAAAACTTATGACGTATTTATGAAAAGGTGGTTCTGATACATTCATTATCAGAGATGTATTTAAAAATTTCTTTGCTACTTCTCAGGCTTCTGTGCTTAGGTGGTCCAGGTACACAAGAAAGAGTAATGTATTGAATTGAATAAATATATATAAATTATACAGTGTTGCCAAATTTATTATATACAGGGTGTCCCAGGAGGAATGTGCCAAACTTCGGGAGGGTGTTCCTTATGTTAAAGTATGCCAATATAACCCAAAACACCTATGTCCAAAGTTGAACGGTTACGGAGATAATGGCCAGAGAAGTGTCAAACTTTGACCGGGGTTACACACTTGTTGATTACAAAATACATATTAAAACTGGCAGGAATATGTGGATTCTGTAATGTTAATAATGTACGTAACATCAAACTAACTTGTGAGTGACGGAAAGCCATAAAAGTGAAGTACAAAATACTCGCTCGCCATGTCATAATTGTCCTTAGGTTTCCAAGCAGTATACATAACACATGACTGGCGAGCGATGACGTAACGTGCTGACTGCGCGTTCTGGTATGAGCCAACTACATAAGCACGGCTAGGGAGTATCATCGCACTCAAGGACAAACATAGATAAGGGCTCTCAGCTGAGAGGTACAGCGAGGTACAGTGCTTGGACCTGCCAGAAGACCACACTTTTCTTGGGCCATTATCTCCGTAACCGTTCAACTTTGGACATAGGTGTTTTGGGTTATATCGGCATACTTTAACATAAGGAACACCCTCCCGAAGTTTGGCACATTCCTCCTGGGACACCCTGTATATAACCATTTATAATAGAGTCTTGTCATTTTTATGTATGTTTATGTAAGTTTGTTTATATTGCTTGTGAAGTATATGGGAAAATTACCATGTAATATTACAGATAAATAAAATATTTGCATACCACATTTCGTCCATAATATGCCAGTTCTGAAGGGAGGACTCTGTCAGAGTTGAGGGACAGAGAGTTGTGAGATGGTAGCCAGCCAGCAATGACAGAAGCACAAGAGCAGGAGGATCTCCACTGTGGGGAACTATTACGTAGCAGTGCCTAGTGAAGACATAGAAGCCATAATGATTGGAGTAGTGATTTGTAGTGTGTGTAGATCCATGACCTGTATATAGGTATTTGTAGTTACAAGTTACAGGTTACAAGTGTTAAATGAATTCAATTATCAGTCCAAACCCTGTGGATAGTCACATGTAAAAGTATTTACAACAGTTTATAAGTGCTTTTAAGTCTGTTATATCTGGGATAGCAATTCATATATTTGAATATTGCTGAGGGGTGACGTGCTGAGTACTTGGGCAATTCAGTGTTTGGATATCTTGCCCCATGTACCTTCTTTTTGGCACATTAGTAATGAGAAGTTGGAAAAATGCATCCATTATCTTCAGCATATCTGCCTATTTGTATGTTCATATGCTAACAACTCTAGAACCATAGCACTGATTTCCATGAAACTGGATATTGAGGGGTTTGGACTAAAATTTGTTAACCTACTTTGGTTTGGGTTAAAATCAGACAATAATGTTGAACTTTACATGAAAACCTATGTGCATTTCTGCAAGGATCTGTAGAGTAACTTGTGCATATCTCACTAGACATTTTTGGAAGCAAAAAATGTGTCAAACAGAAAATGGAAGCACACACTTCATGCCAAGTACACTTTTTATATAAGTCTTACAGTTTTCAAGATAATTAAACATACAAGAGCAAAACATTAACAGTTGTTACTGTGTAGGCACATGTACACTTCCTGACTCGTTTATTAGTATTAGTATTTTTTGTTCTGATTATAGAGTTGAACATGAACTGTAACTAGTTTAATCAGCAGTTCTTCATTCAATATAATTTATTTACAACAGTCACATAATATAAGGTTGTATTATTTCATGGCATTTTGCCTGCGTGCACTATAATCACAGGTAAAACCCAGTGTTTTGTTTGTATATTGTTTGGCTGTTTCTAGCTTCTTTTGGTCTTCTACCTTTGGACCAATCTGGCAAACTATTCTCATTTGAAAAAATTTGAAGGTCTGAGCAGAGTGGATCAGATCCATGCTGAGCTGAAGTAGTGCATGTGTCTGCATTAATTTTTATATACTTTATTCTTTCCTTCTGAGCCAAACCATGGCTAGCAATAGTCTATGCAGTGAACTTGTGAAATAGTGATTCAGCTGATGAAAACACAATTAGATTTATGTCAGGAATGCAGATACTTCTCATTTGAAGCAGACTTTTTTTAAGAGCTCTGAAAAGATATGAACAAATCCAATTTCTGTCTTAAATCACACTTATAGGAACAAGAATAAAGCATGAGCCTGAGTGTTAGGATCATGTTCATATAAAATATGAACATTATAATGTATATGTATGTAAAATAAGGTTGAGCATCTGTCACAAGCCATCTGCCATGATAATGTGTCCATTTCAGTTCCATCAGTCATTTTCTGTCAAGGCCAGTTGACTGTGAACATTCTTTGTGTTTGTGTCCTACCAAAGTGAAGAACACTATTGAACAACATGTACTTCTACTCCATAATTTCATCTGAAGAATGTCCTAGTGAAAATCTTCAAAATATTTACCAGCTCCTGTCACATGACAGCAAAGTTTGTATATTTATGAATCTGTGTTCATTCCTATTCACAGGCCGCCAAAGAATTCATAACTAAACCAGGTGAGAAAATATCTTTCTCTGAGAAAATTGGAATAGCAGCTGTTGGGGGAATAATTGGTGGTTTCATTGGGACCCCAGCTGATCTCATGAATATCCGTATGCAGAATGATATCAAACTGCCACCTGCCAAGAGGCGGAAGTAAGTGTACAACTATTCTTTCATATTATATGTCACAAAAGTAATTGTTTGTTGCTTGCTTGAATCATCCAAACATGACTCATCTGTGTGGAACATGGACAAAACAGTGGTTGTTCAGTTGCAATTACTGTATTTGCTCTCAGAAGGTACACACAATCTGAGCTTATCACATAAGAGTGTTCAGCCACAGAGGTTGCATACAGTTTATGGAGAAGACTTAAAGGCTGAATTTTCTTATATTGTGGTTATCAATCATACTGTATATTTGAATGGCTCTCAGTGAAAATATCAGCTGAGAAATGGACTATTCAGAGGCAAAGATTCTGTGGTTTTCTTCAGCTGCTCCAGGCAGGTGATGGAATAATATCTTCAAATATGTCATAATCATTTCCTTCAACTTGCTCCTCAATTATGATGTGTAAGAAACAATTTGATTTTCACTTGGTACTATATAATTTGTGCAGCTGGCAATTATTGCTAAATAAAGGAGTTCAGATTGAACAGACACTGTACGTATAATGACTAAAGCTTTGTTGAAGATAAAATAAATCACGTGTTTTGAATCTCTTGAGAGCATGAACTTCACTGCCTACACCATAACTTAAAGAATGATAACTGTTAAAAAACACACATGAGCTGAAGTCTGTACTGTGCATGAATACTGGTAGTCTGTCCTGCCGCTCTTGCAAAACAAATGCATTCAGTTCGCTTTGAGGCAGATACTGCATTGTGACTGGTGAATATTTCAGTGACTTATAAAATAGTCACACTGGATGGAGTTGTTTTGTCTTTGTCTGAAAATAGTGCCTCCTCACATACATATCTTGTAAAGTTAAAAAACGAACTGTGTTTTAGTTATCGCCATGCATTTGATGGGATATGGCGAGTGTATAAGGAAGAGGGATTCCGGCAATTATTTTGTGGTGCATCCACTGCTACTGGAAGGTCTGTGCTGATGACTATTGGACAGCTGTCCTGTTATGACCAATTTAAAACAATGTTACTGGATCGGAACTTCGCAGACAACCTGACAACACATTTTCTGGCGAGCCTTGCCGCTGTGAGTGTGGACATGGTTACGTACTGTGGGATGGGATGATGGTTAGTAATTGGAACTGTAGACTGTCTTTATTTTGCTGCTGTCCTCAGTCAGTAAAAGAAAAATGTAAAATTTTGAGCCTTGCTAAACCATAATTGAGAAAATACTACAGCATATCTAAATTTTTTCAAGTTTTTTGTTTGGCTCATTCTGATGGTTATGGAAATCATGTCATGATCAGCTATTAGAGTGGAATTTGTAAAATTCAAAACAGTAAATTATATTGGCCTCAGTAGTTCAGTGTTCAAATAAATCTTGAAGTAATTTTTTTAATGCTAGTGGGGTGGGACTAAGTCCCCTGTACTGCGGCCACTTCTGGCCTATTGTACCAGCCTCAGATGATAGGTGAGGGTGATTCTGGAGCAATTGGTGGAATGAAGTTTGGCAGGGGAAACCGAAGTACTTTGAAAAAATCTGCCCCAGAGCCACTTGACCAGACCCGGGATCGAACCCGGGCCGCCGCAGTAGGAAGCCAGAGACTAACTGCTTGAGCTATGGCACAGCCAATCTTAAAGTAAGTACTTTATCAGATTAGTTCCAGCCCAATGTCCAGTTTGTAAATTCAAACAAAATAAACTGGACATAGTAGTATGTCATAAACCAAAATACTACAAGTCCCAAACTTGTACAGGTTCGAGTTACATGAATCCTTAGACAGATATACAAATATTTTTCTTTTATTTAAACAGTTCAAGTACTTAGACTTCTACAGTCATGAGTACTGAATATGCAGGGTATATATATCATTATACATTGTAATATAGTGTGTTATGATGAAATTTCATTGTACCTACTTTTGTACCTTTAAATTTACCACTACCTTAATTAAATTTTTAATTTTGATTTCTATTTGACGGGCACCTCCATTTATGTGTATGTGTGCGATCTGGTGAGGAGATGGATTACAAAGTTTTCTTGTCAGGTTGCCTACTTGAGGTATGACATACCCTCACAATGTTTTAAACAAACAGTATCAACACAGCTACTTTGACAACTTTGGAGGTGGGAACACTGGTGCCATCTGTATATAATAAACCCCTGGTTATCCACTTATCTAGAATTCTCATCCAGTGGGAAAAAATTTCAAAGAAAATTTACTGCTTTTATATAGTTACATAAAGAAAAGTAAAGATATCTGTGTCACAGGCTGTGGAGGCCCAAAGGGTTGTGAGATGTTCAGGTTCCCACATTTTCTAGACACTTGGCTCATAGATAGTGGCAACATTGTCAGCCCTACATACCAGCTGCCCTTTACCCCCAAGAACATTCCAAAAATATTCCTGGTACTCATTTGTGTTAGAGGCTGAGTCGACCCCAAGGCCATAGTGTGGCCGGAAGGATTAGGTCAATTGAAAAAATCCAATGACCTCATCGGGACTTGAACCCACTACCTTCCGGCTTGTAGCATAGTGCCTCAACCAACTACGCTACTATGTGCCCCTTTCTAAAGTTACTAGGAAACAAATTTGTGACATACATATGTTTGCCCACCATATGTTATTCTCCCAGCTACTGCTAGCGGCAGTTATGGCAAAATGGTTTACATTTCTTGTATACACTGTATAATTCTGCAAGGATTTTCCAATGTTCATGTTTAACATTCTACCCAGTATGAACCTTTGGATATCGATTTTGTTTTGGCTCTCGGAATCATTTCCTTCTAATGAGATATATTCAGTTGTGATTAAAATATATGAGGTCTGCTTCTTTAGAGCGTTGAAATGCATTTGTTGCTGAGTACTTTTAACACTTCATGGACTGGTATTTAAATATTTAAATCACCCTGGGGACCGGAATTTTTAAACATACTACCCTAACTTGTGCACTGTTCACTTTAAAAATTAATATAAAATCTCCTAATTAATTTTTTGAACTAAAATTGTTGGAGAACTTACCAGTGCTCCTAGAAGTGCTTGAGGGTGTGATATTTCTGGAAACTTTCCCCTTTGTGAAGTGGCATTACACAGAACTTGCAAGTGTAGACATACTCCTTTTTTTGTGAACTGTGCAAACACGGCATTGCCTAGAAATATTCTTCCCCTTGGAATGTTCACTCATCACAATTTTCACGAGGGTATTTTTCCGCATATCACTCAAGAGTC